GGACCGCCATAACCGCCGGAAACTCCCATTTTTATGACGGTCCCGCAATGTTTACAAGTTCCATAAACTATGCCATCTTTTGTGTCTTTGTCAAAATGATAAACAAATAATTCTGATTTATATTTTTTCTTACCTTTGTCCGGACCTCGAGAGGTCTCGGGCTCACCTGCCTCCACGTCGACGTCGTTGCTTTGCGGTGTAGGCTCATCGTCCCCGTCAAGATTATCCAGTCCTGCTTCATCAACATCCTCGAATAGACTATCAAGAGTGGGGAGATTCGCGTCTCCTCTACCAGAATAAATCTGGTTGAATTCTTCATCCGTCATAGCATCCCCGATTAAATGATCTGGGATAGTAGGAAACGAAGAGACGGAGTGTCTTCCTCGAGAACCGTGTCCGCGTGAGGTCGAATCGTCGGAGGTGGCTTTAGCTTTGCCTTTACTCAATCTTCGGTTGACGTCGCCCATTACCACGGACCGTCTACCGGACTCCCTCGACATTTTAATATATATTTTTTTGATAATAAAATATTATATTACTTTTGCAAAAATTTAAAAAATTTCAAAATTTTATATATTAAAATTTCGAAAATTTCAAAAAATAAAGAATATATTTAAATTATTTAAAGATTAAAGAATATATTTAAAAATTAATAATATTTAAAATTTTGCAAAATTTGAAAAAAATTCGAAATTTTATATATTAAAATTTTGAAAATTTCAAAATTTTAGTGTATAAAATTTTTATATTATTATATGAATATTAAATGTATAAAAATTAAATAGAGATAATAAGATTGAGAGATTGATAAATTGAGAGAATGAGAGGATTGAGAGATGGATTGAGAAATTGAGTGATTTTTTATGAAAAAAATGAGAGAATTTATTGAAAAAATTTGGTCCCCCCCTCCCCCCCCTCCCCTCTTCCCCTCCCCCACCTCAACGGCTATATAGCCGTTTGAGGTGTGCCCCCCCAACCTTTTTTTTTTAACTTTTTTGCATTTCAATTTTCAAATCAAAAAAAAAAAATAAAATAAAAAAAAATTAAACCGGTACCGGAACCGGACCGGTACCGCCGGTACCGGTACCAAAAAATAGGTACCGGAACCGGTACCGAAAGTGGCGGTACCGGTACCGGTTCCCGGAAACCGTGACACGGGGACCTTGCCGGTGACGGTGGCGGGTACCGGCGGTACCGTTGCCGGTGACGGTACCGTACCGGTACCGTGTCCACCCCTACTCTAAATTGTGTGATTTGCATGCCAATAATCTTTAAAAACATTATATGTATTTAATGGTTTAGAATTGGTTTAGACGGTAGCTCTGTACCGCAAGGCGGTACCTTGCTACCACCGCAATCCTTCGCGAGCCGGTTGGCGCTGCCGGTACTTGCGCCCAGACGGTAGGTGTTAGACAAATGTGCAACTCTAGAGGGGGGTGAATAGAGTTGTTTTCAAGAATGTGCGTTTTTCGCGTGTGTGAAATAATAGAATCGCAGGAATAAATAAAGAGAGTAAGGGAAAGAAGAACTCCGAGATTTATACTGGTTTACCACCTCGTGGCTAGTCCAGTCCTCCGAGAGACTCTCTCGAAAGTCCTACTAATCTTCAAGCTTCAACGAGTGCTTGAAAAACCGGTACAACTTGAGAACTTGAATCACACAAGCCTCACTTTCTTACAACAACAAGACTTGAGTCACACATGTCTTAAGAACAACACTCAAAAGAGATTGAGTTTATAACACAAGAATGAAAGCTCACACAATTCAGCAAAGTAGTGTTGAAGAATTTAAGCTCTATGGATGACAACTTCTTTAGCACTCAAAGAAAATATTTCTAACTCTCAAAAATAATATTTTGATGAGGAAGATGAAGCAAAGGATGAATATAGCTCAAAGAATATATTGGAGTGCAAGAGGTGTGTATTGAAATGAAGGAGAATGAGGGATTAAATAGGCTGAGGAAAATAAAGCCGTTGAAGAAGGGTAGGAATTTTAATCGATTAAAGTGTACAGAAGCGAAAGAGGATTTTGCGCAGGGTGCAAAATAATCGATTAGATGGCGCTGTCTCAACTAATCGATTAAATGAAGAAGATTAATCGATTAATTTAAGAAAAAGGCTTCAGCGAGAAATGCAATCTTAATCGATTAATTTTGAAGGAAAAATCGATTAGTCTGCGCTGTGAGAATTAATCGATTAAAGGAGTAAGAAAAATCGATTAATAATGAGGGCTTGAGAAATCCAGCGCTGTGAAATTGGATCTAATCGATTATTTTAGAATAATTAATCGATTAAAGTAAAAATAATGCGCAAACATAAAGGGCCCAAGCCAAGCGCGATTGGAAGCCTTTTGGCTTCTAACTCGTTGTTTTGGACAACGGGAATATCAAAGGACAACGGACGCTCCTACTCAATTAATTTTGAGTAGGGGAGAAAAAAAGAGTCCAAAAATTATTTTGTGTGTCAAATGATGTACACGAAAAATATTTAAGGTATATTTTTTTCTTAAAAAAAATTGTGTAATCTTAAAAAATGTTTTTAAGAAGTTTTGACACACTTATTTTGAGACTGACTCAGTAAAATATTTTAGACTGAGGAAAAGTAATTTTTCAACTGAGAAAAATAATAATAATTTTTATCCCTCAGAAATTAATTTGTTTATGCAGAAGATATTGACATCCTTACAAATATTCCTAGACTAAAATAAAAAGTCTTCGGAGTCTTCACTTCACTTAAAAAATCTGCGTAAGGGTGGTCGTTGATTTATATCGCCGTAAACTTCTTGATACCCTTCTTTGCTTTTCTCGATACGAAAAATAAATTTTCGATAAGCTGGAAAATAATCATCCTGTTTGTCATTCATCAAAACAAAAAATATTCTAGAAGAAATAGAAAAGGGGTTTGAACTCATGTTGGTCTTATGGGGGACCATCGATCACCCTTAGGGATTCGCTACTGTGCTAGTCACGGTATCGGGTACTGACAGCCCAACCTGACGAAGTACACGAGTCGTGTATCTTGTGAAGCCCCTCCTGTCCATCCACCGCTCGGTAGTGGGGCTCCGCACTGCCGTAGTGAACTATAGGGGGTGCCCTATAGGAATCTACCTCGGCTTGGGGCTACAGAGAGATGTGGTTAAATACAAAGTGTCCACCTTCCTATCACCAATTGGTTTTAGGAAGCATTTGACACCTCTTTAACTTCAGAACTCTGTAGTTAAGCGTGCTGGAACGGGAGTAGTCCTAGGATGGGTGACCCACTAGGAAGTTCCAGAAAAATGATCCTACAGTAGGGGGTACCGGACCGACGGTACCAAGGTTTCCCCAGGCGGTACCGAGGTACCGTGACAGGTACCGTACTGGACCTCTACAGCATCTTAGTCGTTTGTTTGTTCTGATTTGAATCATGTATTTATTCCATGTTCCTGTGTGCTACATGACGGTAAGTGAAAGGTGTTTACACCGGACACTAGGCGGGGTAGTCCGTATTCCGAGTGGTGCGTTTCCACCACTCGTACGCGTGACTCTGCAACTGCATTACTGCCAGATCAGCCCACTCCCTCTTGGGGACCCTCAGGTTCTCGATCACACGCCTCACGTGCTTGAGCCATCGAAACGCAACCAGAGGGTCGGTAATATATTCGCTGAGAAACTCCTCAGCGCCGTTCGTTTTCAGCTTCTCGATCGTGAACCTTGACTGGGTTGCTGAGTTCGCGCTATCGCGTTCTGGTTCATGATGAGAACCTACTAAAGGAGCTGCATCATCAATGCAGGGTCCATCGGTGGAATACCCGCAAGCCCACCATTCGGCCCCCCTGTAGTGAGGCGTTCTGATTCACAATCTGGTGCGGGGACACGCTCGCATCCTCGGAACGATCGCCATCGTAATTCACAACAAGGTCCATTCTACATATTTTTTTTTATAGCAATTAAGAAAAGCATTCTCAAAAATAATAACGCATTAAAAATCTAGAGTTACCTCCCGGGGAAGTGACGTTGCAAAGCTGTGGATGACCACCTTTTTCTTTTTTTCCTTTTTTTTGAAGATATACATTTAATTATTTTTTTTCAAAACAAACATTTAATTATTTTTTTTGAAATCATACATTTAATTATTTTGGCCGAAAATCATTTTTAAAACCACATGCTCCGAAAGCAAAATGTAACACCCCCAACTCGCATAACCCGAACCAAGGAGTTATCGAATCGAGTTGCTACTAATTTGGTATTCACAGCTCAACAGTTTTCACAAATTATTCAAAAAAAACGTTCAAACACCAAATTAAATACGAAAAGTTCGGAGTAAAGTCCATCATGTGCGGAAGCATTAAAATAACATTCTAGAACCAATGTTTAAATCCAAGTAATTAATAAACACATTAATTAAATGTCCATAATTAAAATTGTTAGAATAAGTGCCCTTCACTAGAGGGGGGTGAATAGTGAGGCACGAGAATGTTTATAAATTTTTGCGGAATAAAAATTGCAGGTATAAAGTAAAGAGCGGAATAAAAAGCGTAAGGAAAAAACACACCGATTTTACCCTGGTTCACCACAACGTGTGGCTAGTCCAGCCTCCCGAGAGACTCTCTCGAGCTACACTACTTCCGTTAAGCTTACGGGTGCTTAACAAACTGTTACAACCTGAGAACTCGAGTCCCACGAGCCTCAATACACTTGCTCGGAGATACCGCACTCCAAGACTTCACCCCGAAGGAATATGCCCTTCCTTCGTACAACCAAGGGAACAAACCTCCCTTAAAGTGTTCACAACACTTAACCACTCAAGTACAAAAACTCTCTTAAAGAGTAGAATATGAGTAAACTAATTTAGATCAAGAACATACTCAATTTCTCAAGAAATGGCTCTAAAAGTCTATGTAAAAAGTTTATGGAATGATGCAATGTAAAGCTATGAAATGTGTGAGGAATGGTTGTAAAAAGTAGACCCAAAAGACCCCTATTTATACCCAAAAATGATGTGTAACGGATGGGAGTTGATTGGGGTTTAATGGCATGATTTGTGGAAATCGAATCAAAGTTGGTCTACAAAATTTTAGTCTAACATCACTGTTTATATAGTGAACATCGCTGTTTTGGCTTTGACTTTCCTTTAAAAATGGCTAACAGTCATCAAAACATCAATGTCTAAAAGTCTACATCGATGTTGGGTGATTGACTGTCAAAAAAGGAAAAATTTTGTCTTAAATATCCCAACGGTCATTTGAAAACATCGATGTTCAACAATGAACATCGTTGTTCAAAAACCTACTACCCAAGACTGCCTGGCCAAAACATAGATGTTCAAAGTCCAACATTGCTGTTCAGACATCGATGTTCAAATCCCAACATCATTGTTCTGACATCTATGTTCAAAATCCAACATCTATGTTGGGTCTGGTCGCCAGAACCATGGTTTGGCTACCAACACCAAAAACCGATGTCAAAAACGAAAGTTCTCCAAAATGAAAACCAAGTATGGAAACTCTTATATAATGTATTTTATGTAGAAACCAAGTATAAAAACCTAAAAACCACGTCATTAAGGTAAAAACCACGGCTAGCCAAATTTATGTCGTTTCACTTGGTTTTCACCAAAAGACCAAAAACGAAAGATGGTTTTTGACATGTTTTTGTTGGAGAACTATTTAGGTATTCCCAGAAGTAAAAACCAATCATAAAATCTTAAAAACCACTTGATTGATTTGGACGCCAAAAACCAACATCGATAACCAGCGCCGAATGCCGATAACCAACGCCTAAAAACAAAGGTTATGGTTTTTGAAAACTAATCATTTGGAAAACCTTTAAATGTGTTTAGAAGCAGAAACCAAAGATAAAAACCCAAAAATTATTTGGCTAAAATGAATGCCAATAACCAATGCCGAAAACCAAATGCCATAGCTGAACGCCGATAACCGATGGTTATGGTTTTGGTTGGGCATGAACCAGGGGTTTTAGAAACTTAAAACCATTTATGAAAACACTCATTTGATACATGAAAAAATATTTTGTTTTGAGCCATGACTTAGAGAAATTGAGTGAGCTTGTCACAATGAAAACCAAATTATTTAGACAACGTCTTCAAAATGCCAACGTCGTCGTCTTTAGAAACGTCAATGTCTTTCTTGTTCGTTTTGTTCCTTCAAAGAGCTTTTGCTATGACTTTGAATCTTTCCATTTTGTCCAAAGTTCCTGACGGTTTGTCAATATCAAAACCTAAACGGAAACAAGCATTGCCATTAACAAAACATCAATGTGAAAATGCTTTCTAACAAAAATGGTGACGTCACCCACTGCATCACGTATCACCGTCCTCCAGGCTGGCCCTCATGATCCATATCCCTACCTGCGTGTAGTCAAAGACAACAAGACTACACGCTCAACTGAAAGCTGAGTGAGAAAAATATCTAACGCTAGAATTCATTTCACAGATAATATCGCATTTATATAATCAGCAACACAAGTGAATAATCAACATTTACTTTCATGTACATGAAACCAACAGTTCCAATTCATTTAATCTCAAAGGGCTAATTCTCACCCTACACCACTAAGGCTTAATTCAACAGACTAGAGTTACAGATGCTCGAGAGGATCCCTCATGGGTGATGCTCGGACAAACCCAAAGAGAATCCTCAATGGCGGGTTGGAGTCCCTACCAAGGAATCCCTTAGGTAGAACAGTGACTCCCGTACGTACGTTTTGAGCCCTAGACCACTGGATATGCAAACATGCTCCACAAGGCCCGAACCTAACAATAGTCCTATTGGTGATGAAACTATCCAATTCAGTTTAGATCCGCCTAGGTATACTAGGTGGCCAATTTTCAATAGACTTCTCAAGTGATAACAAACACCTAAACATTTCCATAAACAGAACAACACACTCAGCGGCCTATCGGAAGAATCACTTTTCACCGATTACCGTCATGCTCAAACAACAAGATTAAACCCAACAATATTAAAATAACTTACATGTGTCGCGAACTCGGGACTAAGGACTAACCCTCAGGCCCGTTGCACCCGCCGGAACAGTGTCAATTATCACCGGATCAGCCCGACAACCCGCCGGACTGACTTGGCTACCCACCGCCCGGAAGCCTCACTGCCCCCTCGGGCAGCCAGCCCAACCGGCCCAACAACTGGCCCAACGACCCAACAACCCAAATTGACCCAATTAGAGTCTGAACATAATCAATGGTAACCCGGACAGCCCCAATTACACCCTCGATTGGAACCCAATTGTACAAAAATTAACCCAATTGAACCAATTGGGTCCAAATTGGATCCGTCGGAACTGCCCCTTACGTCGGCCGCAGCACCACTGGCCCACCGCCGGCCAACCGCTGGAAAACAACCCCCAACACACCCCACAATCCAATCCCCAACCAATTCAATGCACAATCAACCACAAATTTCACAATCAAACACAAGATTAATACAAACAAGATCCTAATCTACGAATAAACGCTAACGATAGATTATTGGACAACGAATCACTTCGAAATTGAAAGAGTTAGAACCCGGATTGGAGAAGAGGGATTTTCGCCGCTGCTATTTCCGTCGGAGTCCACGCGCACGGCTGCTGCTGCTGTCACCGACGGGAAGAAGGCGGCGCTACTACGGTGCCCTGCGAAGTCACAAACCGGCGACAGAAGACCTGGCTGACCGGCGACAGAGAAGGCGACGCATAGCAGGGAACGACGAAGGTAACAAACGAAGAAAAGGAGGTGTAACTTTCCAGTAACTTCCCAGCCTATTAATATAAAATTAAATACTCCCTTAGTCCGAAACTGTCACGATCTCCAATTGTACTTTGACAATTAATATCTATATTTATACATAGATATATTTTATAAAAATTTGATATTTGAAAACTACGTTTCATTATTAATATATTGATATTAAATTTATATCATAATACAATGTGTTTTTTCCACAAATCGTAGTCAAAGTTTATAAACTTTGACCCAGAAAAGTCAAATGTGAAGAACATTTCCGGACTGAGGGAGTAGGTTTTAGGGTCCAATTTACACTTTCTAGCCAGTTAGGAAAAATTTAAACCTAATAACCTTATTCGTCAGTTGTATCTTAGGCCAAGTAAGTCCGATTCTCAATCCATTTGTGTGATCGGGTCCAAAACAGTGAGCCCTATAGCGTAAGTCAACTCTCATACGGAGTATGAAATAAACAAATTAGAAAATAAATCTTCGTATTGACCGACTCACTAATTAATTAATTATATAAATTAATTAAAAATACTAAGCTGGGTTTCGGGTCATTACACTTTTAGTTACATATTCCAACTACACTTGCACAAAAAGAGATCTTCGCGGAAAATCAAATCAGAATAAACAAAATATGTAGAAATGCTGGAAGGAGCATGCTACATGTACTCCAAAATTTGTACCCCATTGGTATACCGAAGGTATGCACCAACATTTTGAAGATTTACACTGACACAAAATCTTGGTGCGTTAACAGAAATTTACACTCACACAAAGGGTGGGTGCGTTAACAAAAATTATCATTACACCAACACAAAATATTAATGCATCCTTGCGGCGTACAAAATGGGACACAAATCCTTGGGTTACAAATAGTTTTATCCATGGTGCAGTAATATTTTTGAGGGGTCAAACTTTATAATTTACGGAGTAATTAATCTCCCAATTCATATAAACGCCTATTGCGTTAACCATAGGCTTTTTTCCGTTTAGTTCCTAACGCTCACCTCTTTCACCGAGTTTCTGCTTCGTCTCCTCACCGACCAGGTACCCCCCTTATGATTCTTCTTCCTCTTCCTTTTCTCCAATCATATACTAAAATAGTTGCCGATGTACTGCTCCCTCGTATGAACTTCGGCCAGGTACCGTGCTCCCAATTTTGTTCTTCGTTTTGTAAAAAAATTTCCAATTTGGTTATTTGAAATTGAATTGCATGCTATTTTTTTGAAAGTTTGCAGCCTACAAATTTGAAATCTAAAATTGGAACATCCAAATTTGAGGGAATTGGGGGTTCAAATTTATGACCTAGAATTAGAATTAGAATGTACTATAGTATGTGTGAGTGGTGTCTATTTTGATGAAAAATTAATTTCCGAGTAATTTTAAACCTTCTTCAGCAAGATCAACACCACGACTCACTCGCCCAATTTGTACCGCCTAAGGCCTTCATTAAGTCAAGTACCACTGACACAACTACATCAACTGACCAAGCAATGTATTCTTACTTTATTCATGAAACTGGTTTGATCAGTTCATTAGTTGGCATTTGTTTAATTAAGCGGATTCATTAACTATTTGAACCCAATCCTGGAGTGTGTTTGTTTATCCTTTTTAGTTCACCAATAGATCAAGATATTGATCATCCAAATGAAGTTAATATAATTTAAGGAACATCTGATTCGAACTAAGTTACCTTATATATGAAGCTAGAATTTGCAGATGTTACATATATCTCGTATGAACACTTTACGGCTAAAGACATATTTGTTTTTATATAAGCCATTGTATGGCATCTCTTTTTCATCACTGGTTTTGTGAGTTTTGTTTTCATCTTTAAAACCTGACACATTCAAATTTGAATTCTAAACAAATACAAAGTACATCTTTGAGCCTATTTCCATTCTAACCTTGCAATTGTGGGAATGCACACTGCGCATTTCGTGCCCATTGTGGAAATGCACATTGCATTCAAATAAATCTCTTCCATTTAGTAACAGGTATTTGCATTACAGTTACATTGATCACTGAAAGTTATGGCATAACCTCTGGAGTTACATTATTAGTTTCAACCCACTTGGTTACCCGATGACTAGCGAAAGAACATACTTCCTTCTCTGTATTTGCTCCCAACAACAATTCCAAGTTTGATATGATACCTTTGGGCACTAATACGCAAAGCACATTCCATGCTAAAGAGGCTATAATGTTAACTCGCCGTTTCTTGCATCCTTTTTCCGTTACTTCCGTCAAATTACTGTGTGTACCACTTGCGGCCCACTATCTTCACCTTCTGCTTGCCTTTGCCTCGGTAACCTCATAGCCCCTCTCTTCATCTTCAATGTATAGAGTATATTTGTTATTCTACGTCTGGTTGTAATTCCTTTTTTTAAACACTCTTTGACTTCATTTTTGCATTTAATTTTTACCTCTGTTGTTAAATGTTCACTTTGTCTAAGAATGATACACACAAACAAAAAAATCACTTGTTTTGGCTCCAGTTGTTTATGGGGGGCACAAACAAAGGCTACAACAGCCCCCCTCTCTACCTCTGATGTTAAAAAACGAATTTATGCCCCAAAGTTTACCCCAAATTTTTCTTGATTTCAGGTTTGCCAATAGAAAAGAGTTGATGGTTTCATTTGATAAAAAGAGCTGGTACATTCATTGCCCTTTATTTGATCTTCCTTTAGTTTGTTTGGTATTTTATCACTAGGTAATTCGAATATTGATTTACTTTGTAGTTCAGTTTTAGAACATGTATTTGATTTTAAATTTCTAACTTAAAACCAAATGATCATGTTTTTGGTTAGTACTACATAGGTGAGAATAATGAAATCATTACAAAAATAAGATAATTTCACTTTATTGTCTCAACTTCAAGCTAGATAAAATTGAGATTTGCATACAAAAAATGTTCACATTCTATTTGTGAAGTGAAAAACTATATGAATAAAGAGGTTTAAAGTTGTAATATTAAAACTTCTTTTAATCCATGCAGGGTTGTCCTTGACAACAACATAAGACAATTCAATAGAGTTGTACTCTTTTTGTAGTGGTACACCTTGAGGTATTTAAAATCTCTTAGACATATAAACCATTACTTTTGGACTCTTAGCTCTCTGTAATGCTACTCCCTAATATTTGTAATCTTCTCACACCTTTGGTTGCAATAAAATAGTTCTCCATATTGGGCACCATGCACGTAGGGCATTCCCAGCTAGTTTAATCTATATGCTCCTTAAAAAACATCAACACGATCAAAACAAGAGAAGGGTTCCAACATCAAGGAATCCAAGATTTACCTTTGTGGGTAATCTGTTTCTGAACGCCAACCACAAGGTGAAAGAGCATTTTGGTGGAATAAACGGTTGCTAGATGAACTTCATCCAGGGCTTCGGGTGAGAACGAACCCTAAACAAATCATAGATTTTCCCGGAAAGAAGCTTATTGTTGAAGCAGAAAGGTTTCAAAGGATCTTCAATTGAAAGGGGATTACCAAGCTTAACAAAGAGGGGGTCTCTAATCTCGGCCAACCTCTTGAATAGACAAGAATCCCTCTTCTTAGGGATCCAACTCCAAACACTCCTCCCATTAAGGTAGATGTTGTGGACCCAACGAACCCATAGAGAGTCTTTTTTGTTGGCAATGTTCCATAAGACTTTACAAAGCAAAGCATTGTTCCACATGACTGGCTCTTTAAGCCCTAGTCCCCCTTCGGTTTTGGGCTTGCATATGTCAACCCAGGCGACCTTAGCAAACTTACTGCCCCATAGGAAGTCACAGCACAGGCCTGTGATTCTATTGAGTACAACTTTTTGCGTAGGGAATGCTTGAAGCCAGAAGGATTCAGTCCCTTGGATGACTGCCCTCAAGAGTTCAACGCGCCCGGCATAAGAAAGCTTGTTGGTGCTCCAACCACGTAAGAAGTTATCAATTTTGTTGATCAATGGGGCAAAATCAGATTCCTTGAGCCTTTGGGACGGCAAGGGCAGCCCTAAATAGCTCATAGGGAGCTGCCCCACTGGAAAATGAACAAGGCTAAGTATGTCTTCACTTCGGTCTCTATCCCTCCCGGCAACGAAAATGTTGGATTTGGTGGGGCTGAGATGAAGACCAGAGACGGCAGAGAAATGATTCAAAACCTCCATTAAAGCTGTGACCGAAGTAAAATCCCCCTTGGAGAAAAGCATAATATCATCCGCGAAAGCCAAGTGCGTAATGCCCAAGGTAGACAATCCGGATGGTAATGGAACGTGCCATCCTTGGCCTTCAAATTCAAGAGGTGAGAGAAGTATTCAAGACAAAGGATGAATAAGGTAGGAGACATCGGGTCACCTTGTCTTAAGCCTCTTTGGCCTTTGAAGAATCTGTGGAGCTCTCCGTTGACCGAGATTGAAAATGAAGCCCAAGTGACACACTCCATAACCCAATGCACAAACTTCGGGGGGAAACCAAGTCCAATCATAATGCTATTGAGGAAATCCCAAGAGACGGTGTCATAAGCTTTGGTAATATCAAGCTTGATCATGCATTTGGNTCAAGAGGTGAGAGAAGTATTCAAGACAAAGGATGAATAAGGTAGGAGACATCGGGTCACCTTGTCTTAAGCCTCTTTGGCCTTTGAAGAATCTGTGGAGCTCTCCGTTGACCGAGATTGAAAATGAAGCCCAAGTGACACACTCCATAACCCAATGCACAAACTTCGGGGGGAAACCAAGTCCAATCATAATGCTATTGAGGAAATCCCAAGAGACGGTGTCATAAGCTTTGGTAATATCAAGCTTGATCATGCATTTGGGTGTGGCCCTCTTGATAGCATAGCCTCTGATCAAATGTTGAGCCAAGAGTACGTTGTCAATCAATGACCTACCCTCCACAAACGCTCCCTGAGCCGGGCCAATCAAGTTTGGCAACAATGGAGCCATTCTTTGAGCAAGGATTTTGGTGATAACTTTATAGATCACATTCAAACAGGCAATAGGCCTAAAGTCTTTCACAGATGGGTTATGAGTGGTTTTGGGGATGAGTGCAATGAAAGCATGATTGAGTTGCTTGAGGAGTTTTCCATGATGGAAAAATTCTGCCACTGCTTCAAACAGATCAGGGCCAACCAGTTGCCACTGGGATTTGAAGAAACTAGCACTAAATCCATCGGGTCCAAGGGCTTTGTCATCCCCAATACTAAAAACAGCCTCCTTGACCTCTTTAATGGTAATTGGAGCAAGAAGAGCATCCCAAGAATTGACCGGTACCAGTGAACCTGAGGGCAACACCTCGCTGGAGAGTGGTTCAACTTGAATACCCGTACCAAAGAGGCCGCGAAAGAAATCAACAAAGGAATCTACAACCTCACTGTGACATGTGGTTTTGGTTCCATCACTACGCACCAAGAAGGGAATGGAATTGGTACTCCGCTTCTTTTTCACCACAGAGTAGAAGTATTTGGTGCATATGTCCCCTTTGGTAAGGAAGTCACACTTGGCCTTTTGTTTGTAGAATGCCAATTCTGCTTCAATCAGAAAGTTGGTGATTCTTCTCTGCTTGTTCACCAACCGGACAAGCTCCAAGCTGTCAGGATCACCCATAAGCTGCTCCACCAAAGTTTTGTACTTGATTTTGGCATCAGCAAGACGGTTGGATATGTGACCAAACTCTGCCCTGTTAAGATCCTTAAAGGGATGTTTAAGGAAAAGGAGCTTAGAAGTAAGCACAAACTGCTTGGTACCATCAATCTTTTGGTCCCACACACGTGAAACAATTTGGGGAAATTTCTCATGCTTTGTCCACATATTGAAGAATCTAAACGGCCTTGATTTCCTTTGCCGGGAGCTACTGGAATCAAATAGCACTGGGTAGTGGTCAGATTGGGCTTGCATATCCAGAAACATAGCCTTACAATCAGCACCAATATCTCCCCAATTGTGGTTCAAAATTACTCGATCAAGCTTGGCCAACTTGTTGCCTTTATGCCATGTAAAGAAAAGGCCATCACAGGGAGCATCCATAAGTCTATTTGAGGCCCGAAAGTGCAGCAGGTCATTGAAGTAATAGGCCCCAATACTGAAGCAATTTACTCTTTCATTAGATGCCAGAACAGAATTGAAATCCCCCATTATTGCCCAAGGTTTGCACACGGCAAGGGAGGAGAGCTTGTCCCAGAGTTCTCTTCTAATCTGGACAGTATAAAGAGCATAAACAAAAGTAATGGCAAAGGACTTCTGCGTAGTCAAACAAACAACATCAGAGTGAATGTATTGACTGCCAACATCAACAATAGTACATGCATATAGTTTAGGGTCCCAAAGGATAAACATACGGCCTCCCTTGATGAAATCAAAATTGGTCGTAAAGGACTAGGTAGGCAAAAAGTTATTAATAAAAAGTTCCAACTTGGCAGCCGAGAGTTTGGAGTCTAGAATACAGGCAAAATGGGCTCCATGTGAATGCATATATTTACACAAAAAGGTTTGTTTAGAGGTCCTGCTTAGACCTCTAACATTCCAGCATAAAACCTTCATTTCGGAGGGGGGCCGGAGCCCTTGCCACCTTTTTTGGATTTCTTTGTATGTCCATAGCAGCTTTTTCAGAGATGTAAGCCTTCAAAGTCTGCCTATCATTATCATCAGTCAAACTAGTGCCATCCCCCAAGGGCAGTTCTTGCGCCATTGTTGTGTGAACCACTGTTAGTTTCCCTTTTCCTCCATGCTTGATGACCTCAAAGGGGTCCTTGGGGGTATTAGAAGTAGATGGGATGTGGCCTCTAGCCGGTTCTTTGTGGAAGTGTAGTTGGCCTTTCTTCACCACCTTAGTCCACCCTTGTTCTTTCCCTTTCTTCTTGGTTCTAGTTTCAGTTGTTTCCTTATTTCAGTTGTTTAGCAGCCTCAAGATCACGAAGCTCTTTATTATGTGTTGGACATGAGTTCAAACCCCTTTACTATTTCTTCTGGAATATTTTTTTGTTTTGATGAATGACAAATACAAAGATTAATTTCAAGCTGATCGAAAATTTATTTTCTTATCGAGAAAAGCAAAGAAGGGTATCAAGAAGTTTACGGTGATAAAAATCGACGATCACCCCTACGCAGATTTTTTTTGAAGTGAAGTGAAGACTCCGAAGACTTTTTTTATTTTTTAATTAAGTCTAGTAATCTTTGTAAGGATGACAATTTTTTTTCACAAACAAATTATTTTTTGAGGGATAAAAATTATTATTTTTTGAGTCAGTTGAAAAATTACTCTTCCTCTGTCTAAAATATTTTACTGAGTCAGTTTCAAAATTATTGTGTCAAAATTTCTTAAAAACATTTTTTTTAGAATACACAAATTTTTTTTTGGTAAGAAAAATGTACTTTAAATATTTTTCGTGTACATCGTTTGACACACAAAATAATTTTTGGACTCTTTTTCTCTCCCCCACTCAAATTCATTGAATGAGATATGAGGAGTGTTGATATTCCCGTTGTCCCAAACAACGAGTTAGAAGCCAAAGGCTTCCAATCGCACTTGCCTTGGGCCCTTCATGTTTGTGCATTATTTTCACTTTAATCGATTAAATTTTCTAAAATAATCGATTAGATCCAATTTCTCAGCGCTGGATTTCTGAGGCCAATAGACTTAATCGATTAAATTGCTCCATTTAATCGATTAGTTTAAACAGAGCAAGCTAATCGATTTTTCTCTCTTTTTTAATCGATTAATTCCACCTTTGCAATTCAAGCCTTTTCGCTTCTGTACACTTTAATCGATTAAAATCCCTAATTTAATCGATTAATTATGTCTGGTGCCTATTCTAGTTCTTTTCAGTGGCTCCAACGGATCTTTTATCCTCACCCTATTTAATCCCTCATTCTCCCCCATTTCTACACACATCTTTTGCACTCCAATATATTCTTTGAGCTATATTCATCCTTTGCTTCATTTTCCTCAACAAAATATTATTTTTGAGAGTTAGAAATATTTTCTTTGAGTGCTAAAGAAGTTGTCATCCATAGAGCTTTAATTCTTCAACACTACTTTGCTCAATTGTGTGAGCTTTCATTCTTGTGTTGTAAACTCAATCTCATTTGAGTGTTGTTCTTAAGACTTGTGTGACTCAAGTCTTGTTGTTGTAAGAAGGTGAGGCTTGTGTGATTCAAGTTCTCAAGTTGTACCGGTTTTTCAAGCACTCGTTGAAGCTTGAAGATTAGTAGGACTTTCGAGAGAGTCTCTCGGAGGACTGGACTAGCCACGAGGTGGTAAACCAGTATAAATCTCGGAGTTCTTCTTTCCCTTACTCTCTTTATTTATTCCTGCGATTTTATTATTTCACACACGCGAAAAACGCACATTCTTGAAAACAACTCTATTCACCCCCCTCTAGAGTTGCACATTTGTCTAACAATTGGTATCGGAGCAGGAAGTTCTTTGAATACGTTATTTTTCAAGAACTAAAAGATCAAATGGCATTAAAAATGTTCAACGCGGGAGTGAACGAGGGACAATCAACCACGAGGCCACCGTTGTTCGATGGAACCAACTACTCGTATTGGAAGGAGAGGATGAGAACCTTTATCCAATCCAACGACTACAAGCTGTGGTTGATTGTGAAGAACGACTGCGGAGTCCTAATGAAGAAAGTCGGTGAAGTCAATGTTCCCAAAACCGAAGAGGAGTTCACCGACGAAGATTGCAAAAAGATGGAGCTCAACGCAAAGGCAATAAACATGATTTATTGCGGTGTTAACGCGGATGACTACCGCAAAATCTCGCGGTGTGAAACCGCAAAACAAATGTGGGAAAAATTGGAGGTCACCTACGAAGGAACCGCGCAGGTTCGGGAGGCCAAAATTGACCATCTCACTCACGAGTAGGAAATCTTTTCAATGAAGGAAAATGAGAAGATTGAGGAAATGTTTGAGAGATTCTCTAACATCATCAATCCTCTCAATCTTCTCGGGAAGACATACACCGACTGAGAGCTCTTGAGAAAGGTGCTGCGAAGCCTATCCCCCAAATGGCGTTCAAAGGTGGACGCAATCGAAGAAGGTCGTGACTTCCAAACAACGACCTATGATGCTCTTCAAGGTAATCTTATTACCTACGAAACCACCCAACTCTCAATGGTGGTTGAAGAGAGGAACAAGAGGTCTATTGCTCTACCCGCAACAACATCAACCTACAACAACGTTGATGATGAAGATGATGACAGCGACGACACCGACCCCAGACTCTTTGTCCGAAAATTCAAGAAGATGATCCTCAAGAAGGGAGCCAAGAAGAACACTCCACCCAAATGCTATGGGTGTGGTGAAATTGGACACATCAAACCAATGTGCCCAAAGCTCAAGAACGAGAAGGACAAGAGGGCACCGAATAAGCAACGTGCCTACATTTCTTGGGAGAACGACGGCTCCGGGAGTGAAGACTCGGAAACAGAGGAAGTGGCCAACTTATGTCTCATGGCCATTGAAGATGGTGATACATCAAAAAAGGTAAGTGATCAAGAACCTTCTCCCAATGATCCTATAACTCTTAATGATGTTGTTTGCATTGTAGAAGATTTAGTAAGAATGTTCAAAAAGGCTTCCAAAGAAAACAATGAAATAAAGCAAAAAATCCTGATTTTTGAGAATGAAATCAAAGAAATTATCTCTTTTGGAAAAAGGCCACAAGAACCTTCAACTACTTCTTCTACATGCTAATGTTGCTAGTTTTGAGAGCAAATTGGGAAAGTTCAATAATGCTTCAAACACCTTAGATAAAATACTTAAGCAAAAAGTTAGTAATGGTGAAGGACTTGGATATAAGAAAAACCAACCTAGAAAAACAACATTTCTTAAAGCCAGGGGGAATAAAAATGCTAGGATAAATAATCAAACTAGAAAAGCACATCCTAGCAAACCTAGAACTCATTACACTCAACCATAGAGGATGAATAATCCAAATGTTATTTGCCACTATTGCAATAAGATAGGTCACATTGCTCCCGTGTGCTTCACAAAAATTAGGCATTTTCAAGAAACGCACACACATCGCACATATGCTAACCAAAAAGGACCCAACAATACATGGGTACCTAAACCGTCTCCTTGATATCTTTTTGTAGGTGTGCTTGAAGGCTTCGAGTACCTCTTGGTATCTCGATAGCGGATGCTCCAAGCACATGATCGGAGACGCATCCAAATTTAGGAGTTTAGAGTATTTCAAAGGTGGCAATGTCGTTTTTGGTGACAACAACAAAGGAAGAATCATTGGAAGTGGCACCGTCGGAAAGGACAATGCTACAACCGTTCAGAACATTCTTCTCGTTGAGGGCCTCAAGCACAATCTTCTTAGCATTAGCCAATTGTGCGATAGAGGTAACCGTGTCATCTTTGATTCTAGAAAATGCATTGTAGAACGCTTGTGTGACAATAAGACTATTCTTTGTGGTAGTAGAGTAGATAACATTTACATGTTTGATCTTGAAAATTCCCCGTCTACTTTAGCTAAGTGTCTCACTACCAAAGAGGAAGAAACGTGGCTATGGCATCGTCGGATAGCTCATGTTAATATGGACCATCTTAATAAGTTGGTTTCTAAAGACTTAGTAATTGGTGTTCCTAAACTTAAGTTTGAGAAGAATCTAATTTGTGATGCATGTCAAAAGGGGAAGCAAGTAAGGGCCTCGTTTAAGTTAAAGAACGTTGTTTCTACGACTAGGCCATTACAACTTTTGCACATGGACCTTTTTGGACCTTCAAGAACTATGAGTTTAGGAGGTAATTACTTTGGCTTTGTTATCGTTGATGACTATTCGAGGTTTACATGGACACTCTTTCTTGCTCATAAGTATGATGCACTTAATGCTTTTAAGAAATTCATTAAATTGGTTCAAAATGAAAAAGA